CTGCCACGGGCTGGGCACCCCCCCTTTGTGCTGCGTGCTGCGTCTGCTGTTGAAGGAAGAGGGGGTGGTGGGGGGGGGTGAGTGGGGGCCCCCCCTCCTCACCCTCTGCTTTTGTTTCCCCTTGCAAGAGCTGAACAACTGCCTGACACTGCACGTCACAGATTCAGCGTGGAGAAGGGGGGGGGGGGACACCAGCTCCTTCCGCAGCTCATTTCAAAAGGCACAAGGAGGTTTGGTCTGTGTCCACAGCGAGCAGGGAGCCAGCGAGCGAGCAGAGAGGAAGAACACGGAGCAGTTGAGCATGGCTCTCCCAACTTTCGCGCGAGAGAGGAGGCGGCAGGGGGCGAAACTTCAGGGCTCTTCTGTCTGAGTCCGCGATGCTCCTGTGACTGGCCGTCCGGGGAGAGGGGCAGGAAGGAGAAGAAGAGGGAATGCGAGGCTGCCGTAATGGGTAGGCAGAAGTGGGACGGCGTGTTAGCAGGCTAGCAGCTGGAACGGTTTGATTTTACAGCTGGAAGAGCAGAAGCTGAACCCAAATCCCAGTATGGAAGACCTGCTGGAAACCCTGCCTCCGCTTCTCTCTCCGTGACCTCCTGCCCCTCCTCTTCCTTTGGATCACGTACAAATGGAGACCTTGGAACTGTGGACCTTCAGGCCCCTGCGAAGCTGAGAAATTGGCTGTCGTCTCTTCTGGACCCGGCGTGGACCACTTTGGAAGGACCATGGACGCCTTAGGGAACCAGGAGAGCTACAGCATCCAAGCCACAGCCACCATCGCTGCAGTCACCACATTCCTCATCCTTTTCACCATCTTTGGCAATGTTCTGGTGATCATTGCTGTGTTGACCAGCCGGTCCCTGAAGGCTCCTCAGAACCTCTTCCTGGTGTCCCTGGCAGCGGCGGATATTCTGGTCGCCACCCTCATCATTCCCTTCTCCCTGGCCAATGAGTTGATGGGCTACTGGTACTTCAGCAGGACCTGGTGCAAATCTTACCTAGCGCTGGATGTCCTCTTCTGCACTGCTTCCATTGTGCACCTCTGCGCCATCAGTTTGGACCGCTACTGGTCAGTCAGCCAGGCCATTGAGTACAATTCCAAGAGGACCCCCCGGCGGATCAAATGCACCATCCTTGTGGTGTGGCTGATTTCGGCCTTGATCTCCCTGCCCCCACTGGTCCTCAATGAGAACCAAAACAACACCAAAGAGGATACGCCAAAGTGTGAACTCAACAAAGAGCCATGGTATATCCTGTCCTCCAGCACCTGTTCCTTCTTTGCTCCCTGCGTTATCATGATTCTGGTCTATCTCAGGATCTATTTTATAGCCAAGCGCCGGAACAGACACAGGTCTCGAACTAAGCCGCCCAAGGAGAAGGCAGAAGAAGAGAGACCGCAGAACATGGTTAGCCCACCTGATGCTGCTCTTCCCAAACAGGACCAGCCCAAGCTGGGAGAGAAGGTGGAATCCAATGGACTTCAGGCCCCTCCCCAGGAAGGTGAGCAAGGAGACTCCTGTTCTCTCTCTACCAAAAATTTTTCTCTCGTAAGCCACGATGACAGGGACCCAGAACCAGACTCTGCTGTTAGCCCTTCCCTGTCCTTGCCCGAGAAGAAGCCATCTTCAGAATCCAGCCCCGTGGAGTGTATTCCCCAGAACAGCATCCAGAGAAGCAACGGACCTCCTCCGATTTCCCCACCAGCCATGGACACCTTGGCCACCGCGAGAGGGGAGGTCCTGCTGGTGAGGAAAGTAAAGACGCTCAGTGCCAACCCTTGGAAGAGGAAGACCCACCTCAACCGAGAAAAGAGGTTCACTTTTGTCCTTGCTGTGGTGATTGGGGTTTTTGTGATCTGCTGGTTCCCCTTTTTTTTCCTCTACAGCCTGCGCGCCATCTGCCCCTCGGAGTACTGCCCCATCCCAGAGAGCACGTTCAAATTTTTCTTCTGGATAGGTTACTGCAACAGCTGTTTGAACCCCGTCATCTACACCATCTTCAACCAGGACTTCCGCAAAGCGTTCCGGAAAATCCTCTGCAGACAGTGGACTCAAACTGCTTGGTGAGACCGACTGGAATCCAACAGGGAGAGACAAGGAGAGAACATGGTTTGGGTCCATAGGGGCTCTCTTGACGAAAGGGGGAACTCAGCAACTATTTAACAAAACCAGAAACCTATTTATTTTTTGGCTTTTGTGTTTGCAGACCAGGGAGTGAGGTGAGTGCTGGATCCAAAGGGGCTTTTTCAGAAAGTTTGTTGTGCCTTGGTTGTGGGGGTGCGTGTGTGTGTGTGTGTGTCCAAAAGAGATGGCATGTACTGTATATAAACACACACGCACATCTCTTCTGCCAATGTGTGTTTTTCACTAAAACGATGTGCCACTGTCAAAAATCTTCTGATTAATTCTTTGGAGGGAAGAACTTTTCTTCTACTTTCTGGGCTAAAGGAGGGGATAATTAACGGTTGCCAACTTGGCTTACAAGCCCTATAACTCTCCAGTTTTCTAGGGGTTGAAAGGCAAATGCTGTATTTAGCAGGTGTTCATTTCTACGTACCAAGATTCTGCAAAGGAGTAAGGGGAAATGTTTGTCCTCCCGTTTTCTTTGCTGTTCATCTGGCTTATCCTCATGTGATCTCAACTGCTTCAGCCCTCCACATATTTTGGAGTTAAAGCTACTGACATGGAACACATTTCAAAATAAATCTGCGCAGTGTATCTTTTGGTTTCAGCTCAGGAACCTGGGTTTGAAAATTCACTTTCAGGGACCAGAAAGAGAGCAGGGTGGCCAACTGCTCGAAATAAAATGTGTGGCTTAACATAGATATGTGGTCATGCAAAACGGAAATGGTGCTGTTGGACCCTCTCTGCATATGAACTCCTGTACAAAAACAGAGCTAAAGCATAGGACCAAAAGTTGGCCTCCTGGATGGTCAGTGAAATATTTGCTGTTGTGGGGATTTGATCGCTGTTGACAAATCTTCTCCTGTTTTTGTCTATGATGGGTTGCCATCCTTTAAAAATCAGCCATGCTCCTGTGCATTTAAGAGCGTCCTCTCTTTGAAGAATCTAGCTGAGAAAGATTTTGCTGTCAGTTCTGTCCCATCTAATAAAACTTTCAACGGCTAACATTTTGCATGTTCTTAATAGCACAGAAGCAGGATGGGGTGCAGGGGGTCAAAAAAGGCAAGATAGTGGCTTCAATCATGCAATCATGGACGCCATCTTGACTTTCTTGACTCCCTCCCTGCAAAACACCCCTGAAGTAGGACTAGTTGTTTTTTAAGCAGCAATCCTACGTCCTTGCAATTATTCCTAAATCGTAACAAGTAATTTGTTGTTCTTCATAAGGTTCATCTCTTTGAATGGGGTAAAGAACGTTAAAATCACTGAAACCTCTAAACCAGCTTTCTCCAATTCGGCTCTGAGTTATTAATGTAGTGTTCCACTGATTTATTTCACACGGTTTGTATGCTGCTGCAATCACCAGGTGCCTGTGAGCATCTTATAATCCTACCATTTGAAAACAGGGTTAGAACAACTAAGAAAATAGAGGTGATAAGTAGCAAACGTTAATGTCCACAAATATAAGACGATAATAGCAGACTGGTTCTATGTGGGGGTAGGTTGAGTCTCCATGTGGATGCTATTCCGGAGAAGGGGAACAGTGATCAAAAAGGCCCACTTCTGAGAACCTACTAGATTACTTTCATTAAGAGAGAGAACTTGGTGGGACCCCATTCTTCCAGATCTAAGTGGGAAACAACTGGTGAACAGGAGTACTGTAGATATCTGGATCCTAAGTCATAGGCTGAACTTCCAACCAAGATGGCCATTAACAGTTGACCCAATGCATCTGAAGAAGCCAGGTAGGGAAGGCTGGATCTAGTAAGGAGGATTTTGATTGGCTGAACCCAGCATGGCTGTCAAACTGTTGGAGAACCCCTAACTGATCACTGATATGAGTTGGTTAACTAAACAGTGAAAGCTGAGTAACCTATGAAGACAGAAAATCCAACAGTTTGAGAGAGACCTAGATTTTCAATGGATTTAGAAGAGTGTGACTGATCGCGAGATGATTTCGATTGCTGGTTCTGCAGACCAGCATGAGAAAAGTTCATCCATCTTGAATTAAGCCACCCAGATGAAGAATGCTGGGTGAAATGTGGAGTGAATCTGGGAGGAGAAAAAAAATGGGTGCCTCGTTCTATGGCTGAACAGAAATTTCTGGTCTGAGTAGGTATTGAGTGGTACCCAGGCCTGGATTCCATGTTTACGTCTGGCTTTTAAGCCATGATTTTTCATTGGGTTCTGGCTGGGTTCAAGGATGCTTCCATGCAAAAAAAATGTATCACCTTCTTTCCAGTTCCACACAAGACGTGGAAGACAAATCTGATTCCCCAACTGATTGCTGACATCTTTTAACCCAGCCCAATGCCCTGATCTAGTTAAATGGTCCAACCTTTTCAAAATAAGGACCAGGGCAAAAGATTTCAAGTTGCACCATCTTCAAAGAAGCATTTGCCCAGGACAATTCCCAGCTGGAAATGTTTCTTTTGAGGCCTTCCTGGCTAATGCATACCGTTCCAAAAATGAAGAGTGCATTTTGGTTTAAAATAAGGGTTACCTAAGCAAATAGGGGAGCAGCCCTCAGCATATGTGAATTCTCTGTGTACTGACTTTAGACCAGTGTTT